TGCAGTTTTGGTGAAATGGTCCTTTAAGTGATATTAAAAGGGGTTGTTTGGTTAGTAGACTTGAATGAAAATGCATCCTCTGCTTTACTTACACTGATCTATTAAGACTGCTTTATTTCTGTCAGACTGCTCAGTGTTAAATGTCTTCTGCTCCATTGTATTTGCATCTTTTTCCCTTTTGCATACAGCCTGATTTTCTGAGACATGATTTTAAATGATGCCTTCAAGCACTGCAATCACATCTGAATGATTAAACCTGCGCAGAGGCTTTAACGGGCGTCAGTCTGTGCGGCCTTGGTTCCAAGAACGCTGCTGAAAGCCAGCGGCTCAAATGTTTATTCTGCTTTATCTGAAAAAATAACGTTTTCTAAGGCACAGAATGAGCACTCCTCCTGTCCTTTATGTGCAAAGACCTACCGAGCATCTGATGATGTTGTGCAGATATGCACGGAGAGGGCGTTTTGACAATATGAAACCTCAGATTCAATGAAAATGGACTCAAACCTTTAGAAACTGAAGAAGCCTTTGGAACGTCAAGAGATCATCTAGATTAGATGAGCTGAACAGACATTTTAAAGCATAAATAAAGTCACAAGAACTGCTAACGTTGGGTTATTAATGAACTACACTGTGGTCTCATGAGTTTAACGTTGAATTTCTAATCCGGTTTCATGGAAGTTCTTAAAAATAATCATTACCTCCATTCATTTGTGTGTCTGGACATGGATTTAACAGGGTTTTTTCTCCTTGTCATGAATCTTCCTTGGGCAGTGGTGGTTAGCACAGCTGCCTCACAACAAAAAGGTCCTGAGTTCAATTCCACCATCATGAAGACAGCTGGGATAGGCTCCACCCCTATAAGCTTTGATAGACGATGTGCGTGGAACATCCCTCGGTTCCACCTGTGCTCGTAACGCCTGCTTTCAAAACGGCAAGAACGGAAGAAAAACAGGACTCTGCAACCCAAATGCTGATCTCATGGTAGCCATGACCATCTTTTATATACAGTCTATGGCTATACTAGTAGGAGGTGAAAAAGATGATCGAGCTTTGAGAAGATGAGGAGAGAAGTGGGCTGCACAGGGTGACGATATCTGCTTTTCACAGGGTTTCGTCGAGCCCACGAAGGGAAAAGGACAAAGTGGAGAATGACAGTCGCTTATAGATTTCAACAACACTACAGTGGATTGAATCGTCAACGTTAACGTCTTCATTGTCCAGCCCAAAGCAGAGATATGTGTCAGAGACAAAAGAATAACAGGGTGTCTGTTTTACCTGGATGAGGTAGGCCGCTGGGTTTCTTCTCTTCTCAAAGTGCTTCTGTCTGTGCTGCTCCTGGACCTTCAGGGCGAAGCCTGAACCCAGAATACCCTGAAATGATATAAACAGCAATAAATACACACACCACAAATACACCATGATGTGGTTTCGTGCACTGGTAGCAGTGACTTAACCCTTTAAGACCTACCATAGAACCAAGTCCGCCAGAGCTTATATTATAT